TAGTGAGAGCCATCTTGTTCCGATCTGTCACAGAGATATGAGCCCTGTGTCCCCAAACTCCTGTCTCTATGTTCCATTTTAATCAAAATCCCTAGCTTTCTTGTATTCTATTCATTTTTGTGCCGTGTCTAAAGCATGGCATCAAATTTTTGTATTGGGTCCTTGACCACCCGATTAAGACTTGTATAAGACCTGATATACAGTATGCCTGAAACAAGGTCTGTACTAGAGTCCTTCCTTCATTCTGTAATGAAGCACCATTAGAACAAGAATGGGTATTAATTTTCCTGTACTCTTGAGATTAAATGAGTCAATTTTTTAACTTTATTTCTCAGAGGTTATAATGCAAAGGTCCAAGCTTATTGTCTGTAACCTTATCACTAGAGTAGCTATACTTCTCTTCCTTGGTATAAATTCATTTGTAAGATTCATAGTATAAAGTGAACAAAATAGCTATGTAAATAGCTCATATTTTTTACTAGTATATACCTACACTTTTAGCATCTAATGAAGTACATTGTGGCTTGTGAAAGCTTATGCCTCACTGAACCATTTAGTCTCTAAGGTGCAACCCTGCTCTACTTTCTGCCTGTACCCACAGTGATATGGCCTCTAGTTTTGCATATGGCAAGCTCATGTGACAAACAGGAAAGTTGTGATGTGTTCAGTGACTGACTGATCCCATAAGCCTGTGTCAGTTGATGCTGGATGATCACCACTCTACACTGAGCCAGCCTACCTGTGGCTTGAAAAGCTAGAGCATTGCAGCTATTTAAGACAAACTGTAGGCAGCTGCTTGCTTGATTGCTTTTATTGGGGCCTTTCATAACCAGAGATCCTGGTTTTCCCTGATAAATACCAAATTCTCCGCTAAAAAATCACAAATTCTCTCATAAAAACCCCCAAATCTAATAAAGCACCCCCACAGTCCCCTGGCCCTGTTCCTGCCTCTCACTCCCTGTCCCCACAGCCTTGCTGCTGCCCGTCACCCTCCACCCATAGCCCTTGCTCCCCCAGCCCTGCTGGAGGGGTCCCTCAGCTGCCAGGGCTATGGACCTGGGTCCGCAGCCCCCTGCCCCTGCTATCCCCTGCTAGCTGCTGCGGGCTTGGGTGGGGTGGCTCCCTGCTGCTACGTGCACTCCCGGTGGACCTCCACCCCCCAGATATATAGACGGGGCAGGCGCAGGCTGTGGGCTCAAGCTCCCGCCCTGCTTCCCTCCCCTGAGGCCTCTGCAGCCCACTGGGCATGATCTGGCACAGCTGAGGACAGTGGGGCTGTGCAGGGATCTGCTTGCTGCTGCAAGCTCCTCCTCCCCCCCCCTCCCCCCCAAACCCGCACTGCTTTGGCGATGCACCCCCTGCACCTGCCGCTGTTTTAAGGGGCACAGTCCTGCACTGCTGCTCTCACTGCAGCCCCATGCAAAGGCAGGCCACCCATGGCCCCATCCTGCTCCCTGCTGGGGCCCTGTAGCCGTGTATTGTGGCCCTGGGTCCCAATCCCCACCTGGCTGGGCAGCAGTCCCAGTCCTGCCTAGCTCCCTCCCTACAGGGGCCTCAATCCCCATCTCCCTCCCTACTTACTTTCTGGAACTGCTTTGCTTTGCAGGCTTCCCGGGGCCATGTGCATGTACATGCATATAGAGCCCCCTGTCTCACCACCTTCCTCCTGCCCCCCTCCAGCTCTCTGCCAGCTGGAACTTCCAGCTGGCAGGGAGCTCACTACAAAATGGCAAAATCCCAAGGTTTCTCTTGTTAAAACGAGAAATCCATGTTTGCCTCTGGTAAAAGGTAAAATCCATGGCTTACTCTGTTTTTCCATGGGAAATGGAAGACCCAGATCCCTGTTCATAACAATGTAACCAGCCTTAATTAGGTGCTAACAGGGAGGCACAGCTGAGCTAACAGTATTTCAAAGATAAAAGTTATGCTTAATTCCTCATAAGTGATGCATTTAATATAAAAATCAATAGCATGTGGCAAACTAATGCCTTTTACATCATGTGAATACCTGTCCACATTAGGCAGTGACTTCTCAAGTGGCTTGCATTCAACCTTGATGTCCAGCCTTTCTCTACAAAAATTATTTTTGAAGCCAGGCCTGGTACTTGCAAGAAAAGGGCTTTACTGGCATTCATGTGCATTAATAATGTGCAGTTGAACTACCTTCAGCACACCAGCTTAATTGGTTTAATGTTGAACCACAGCTACAATAGTTTTTACTTTTATTACTGTATGTACTTGTTTATAAGATAAGGTTCCACCCCATTCAACATGGGAAAAATCAAGCCTTGTCTTATAATTGCATACAACTTAACTGAAACTGGAAAATGCGCAGAGTGCCAGAGCTTTCTTCAATGTGCAGGGTCACTTGAAACTATTGCCTGCCTATGGCAAGTTGCTTTGGTACCTTCTGGCTGGAAACCCGACACAGCTCAAAATGACCCGGCAGTGTTCCCATAGTATGTGGGGTTTCTGGTCACCACGTACTAAGTTGCTCTGAGCTGCTGCCCCAGCGGTGTGTGCTGGAGCAACTTGTCACACGCTGACAGCCTGGGCGGGTCCCTTTTGTGTGCTGGGTTGCTCCAGCATTAGCTGCTTGAGCTCTCCAAGCGACTCCCTTGTCCAGTATGCGACAAGGGACCCAGCATGAGCATGCCAGTGAAGGATCTAGCACATAGTGAGGTTCCAGTCAGTGGTGCTAAGGGAACCAGCATACGATGAGGCACCCAACAACAGTGAGGCAAGTGACAGCAAGGTACCCAGTAGAGAGGCAGGTGGCAAGGGAGCACTTGGCAGAGTAGCAGGGAAAGTAGCAGATTATAGGGCCTGAGATCACCACTGAGTGGTCAAAATTTAAAAACAGAAACCCATAGGAAATCCTGTGGGGTGAGCCACGGCAGGGAAACCCCCATGACAGACCATGTAGGAAAAAAAAAGGAAGCAGCAGTACAAATGTGAAGATACCAAAAGAAATGAGGCGCAGCTATGGTGCGGACTTTAAAAGGAAGGTTATAAGGTAACAAATAATTGAGAGGCAGGAAGGAAGTATAACGTTACTGAATCCAAATGTGTGTCAATGGAGACAAGGAAAAGGAAAATGCAAGAATGCTAAGTCTACATGGAGAACATTTGGGAGTCCAAAACAAAGTCGCTTTCCCGAAACTGATAAGCAAGTTCTCAAGTGTGTTCAAGACTAAAGAAAGGAGGGAATGCCAATCATCCATGAAGTACTTTGACTCAAGGCATTGGAAATAGCAAAGAAATTGAACATTCCTCTTCAAAAATTCAAAGCAAAAATAGTGGGTGGCATATCTGAATAATGTGACATAGTGGCTTAGCCCTGAGATGAAGAACATCATTTGCACAAAAGCTAACATCAGACTTCAGCATACAACTTGTTTGATTCCAGCGGTATTTTATTGGGCTATGGAAAACTCGTGATTACCTGCTGGGCGAGATAGGTAATCCTGATGAGATTACTCAGCATGTCAAAATAGACTAGAGTATATGTCACCATCCATGAGAAAGGTGAAAAATCCATAATTCTGAGAAATATAAGAAATGAAAAATCACAAATTACAGTGATCTTAGTAGTATTGGCAGATGGGAGAAAATTGCAACTCTGTGATTTTGAAACATAAAACTATGCCAGAATAAAAGTTGCCACCAAGAATAGTGGTTAGATGCCAGGAACAAGGATGGATGTCAAGTGAACTGATGAATGACTGATTAGATGTTGTGTGGAAATGGAGACCTCAGGCACTGCTAAAGAGAAGAGGAATGTTAGTGGCAGTCATTCAGAGAGCATTTAACACTTGATGGGAAAGCAAAAAGTCAGTGAACTATGATCTTGTAGTCATGACATCTCAACTCCAGGTATTGGATGTCATAGTGAATAAGCCCTTTAAGGACTATTTACAGTGTCAGTACTCAGACTGGCTCTTGACAGGGAACCACGTACTTACACTTGGTGGAAAGATTAAGAAGCCAACCATAGCACTGCTTTGCCAGTGGATTCCAGCTTATTGGGGAAGGATATCTTCAGAATCTATTATTAACGATTTCAAGAAGTGCTGTATATCCAATACCACGAATGGAACTGAAGATGATGTTTTGTGGGAAGATGAGTGAAGTGCAAGAGTGAGGATGCATGTGAAAGTGACCAGTCCTAATTTGCCGGATCTAAGAAGGGAGTAGCACTCACCAGGTTCTGAACAGAACCTAATGTAGATTAAGCATAAATTCATGTTTGAATTTAATTGAAGCTAATGTTGAATGTATGACTCATTGGTATTGCTATAGTTTTTGTCAGTAGGTCTGTTTATAAAAGCAATACCAAATTAAAATTTTTCCTCGAGTAGAATCTAATTATTAGGGGTTCATCTTAAATTCAGGTTTGTCTTCAAGTTGAATAAATATGGTAATTAAAATAAATATTTTATCTGTAAATCAGCGATTCTGCCAGATAAAGGTTTTTTGAAAGAGTTAAGCCAGTACATACCTAACAAAGTACCACATACAGGCAATAAGTTGTACCCAAATTCGCAACTTCTGTTCAAACTGGTGAATTTAATACATATAGGGACTTATTTTTCAGTGCCCTGACAGTGATATTTTAAAATGGATTTACTTTGGAGTACAGTCTCCAATATAGAACAATTGACTTCATAGGACATTGCCTCATATGAAAGATAAGACTCATCTTCTGCAACATTGCACCTTTGAGATGTTACTCAATAAAAACTGTATTAATACTTAATGACTTTATGATCAGAAGGGCCCATTGTGATCCTCCAGTCACCTTCCAGACCTGCATATAATAAAGGGCCAAATTTCACTTAGTTATAAGCTTGCTGCAGAAATTACTATTATATGAGTTTGGGGAGAAGTTTCTTTAAAATCAGGTACTTTTCAAAAGGAGAACTGCATGCTCTTTAGAATTTTTTTTAAAAGAAAAGAATGAAATGTTGAATTGTAAGCCTTTTTTTTTTTCTTTCTAGATGTTGCGGATGATTATAATAGAATTGGTTCTTCATTATACACGTTAGGAACGCAAGACTCCACAGATATATGCAAGTAAGATTCTGTTAACAGTGATAAATTACAGGACAAATTGCTACACAACAGTGTCAGTTATGACCTGCATGTGCTTATTGCACTTCGATAAAAAAATGAATGGCTGTATTAGATTTTTATACCCAAAATAGTAGTTTCTTTCTCATCCTTGTCCATGTTTCATTTTCGTATTGTGAAAGTTTTTTAATATCACAAGAAGTTATAAAAAAAAAAAAAGCTGTTTCTTGGAATATTTAGGATTATATAAATAATACTTTAAAAAATTTATTAATAAATGAGAAAACAGAACAGGCCTTCTAAAACAGAAAGAGACTCTGAAAGTAAAAACATGATTTTAAAATACACAGCTGCTCTTGTACTTATTTGCAAAAGCATGAATGTGTAAAAACAGGTATGGACATGTCTGGTGTGGAAACATTTGTGTGTACTCGCTGCATAGAGATCATGTAAAATGACCTCTTAAGGCCTGGCTGCTTCACTGCTGGCCATGCCTTCTGTGGATCTCATCCCTTACTACAGGGATGTGCAACCTCTGCTTGTACTGTACATACTTTGCAAGCCACCCCTACACCATGGGTGTGTGTGTACCCCTCCTCCTACTGTCTCAGCACCCCCGTGCCCTGCATGTCACACCACATGGGTCCCTCTTGCTGTGCTGCACAGCAGGTGCCCTGCTGTACTATGTCAGTGCTGCACTGTGCAGGGCCCCTGGGTCCCCCCAAGCCATGTAGCTGTGGGCTCCCTCAACCCTGCCCCCAGGGGTGGGGTTAGGCATCAAAAGCTGGAGAAGGCGGGGGGAGCCCTGAAGCCCAGGCAGCAGAAGATACTTGGAGCAATGTGGTGTGCAGCGACCAGACCAGGGGCTTGGGGACTGCATGTTAACCCATTGGGGGCCTCATGAGGCCTACTGGCCACCAGTTGGACAGCCCTGTTCTGTTTAGAATTGAAAACAATATATGTGTACCTATAGAGACTTCTGCCCTTTCGAGGTTTTAGTACTATGGTCCAATGTATTGAGCAGTGTGGTGGTACTGTGGACAAAAGCCTAACTGAATATGTGGCAAATTTAAGCAATTTAAAAATGTTAGGGAAACATTTTGAAAATAGCAGCCTAACTGGACAGATAGGACTTGGACATTACTGCAGGGAGGTGGATTTCTACACTAAAGTTAACGTTGGTGTATTTGTCAGTTCACATCAGTTCTGGTAATGCAGCACACCACTAATTGGAGCAGGTCTCCTTTAGTGGTGATAGGTCTCCTTTGCTTTGTACCAAATCTTGACTTTTTTGATCAATCTGTTTAAACTCCAAATTGTAGTTGGCAAATTATTTCATTTATCACTTGAGGCAGTCTAGATTCCTGGCTAAATCCACTGAGAAGCTTTCCTTCTTTATGTTGTCTTACCCAATGAGGATGTACTACATTTTTGCTCAAACTTCCCAAGGTCCAGAAGCCTGAACAGGGCCTGCACCGTAGCTTTGAATTAACTTCATTCTTCGCACTAAACCACATGCCATGAGCCTTCTGATAATAGTGAAAGACTGCTAAAAAGATGAAGTGTGGATTTTGTACAGAGAATTTTGTACAACAGTTCAGGTTTTTATACAAAGCAAAGGCAATCCTTGAGCAAATGTTCCCATGTTAATTTTTTCTTTAAAGAAATAGCAAACCATAGTACCATAGCATCTAATGAAGTAGGCTGTTGCCTATGAAAGCTTATGCCTCTCTGACAAGGTTCTTTGAGTGAATCTGATATCTTTTGTTAGACCAACTTAAATAGTTGGAAAAATGTTTAGCAAGCTTTCGGATTTAAAAACCCTTTGTCAGGCTGAGGAAGTCTCTGCAGTTGGTGTGTGCTCTTCCTGGATGGAATGAATAGTAAAGAAGCCAGGGGCTGGGCTGGGTTTTTTTTAAGCCTGAAAGCTTGCTAAAAATTTTTTTTACAGTTATTTAAGTTGGTCTAATAAAAGATACCAGATTCACCCAAATGACCTTAGACCAGCACAGCTACAACCTGTACCCCATGCCTCTCTGAACCATTTAGTCTTTAAGGTGCTACCCCTGCTTTGCTTTCCTGTTGAGTCTTAGTTAACTGTGAATTCTTACATATAACATTTGAGCAAAAAATGCAGTTTCAGATGCATCGCAGGTTGAAATCAGTCACTTCAGTCTTCCAGGATTCCTTAAATCATAATCAGTTGCTGAGTTGGCACTTCTCACTCAGCATAGGTTCTATTCCTTTGATTTCTAAAGGAGAAATGTGGAAGTACGTCATTAGACTTGCATTGTAATGAAAGCTCTTAATTGATCATGCATTTCCTTCCCTAGATTTTTTCTGAAGGTATCAGAGTTATTTGACAAAACAAGGGTACGTATTGTGAAATCAGTTCTTACATGAAAATTACTGTTTAATTGTTCATCCTGGTGTATGCCATGACTTTGTACAGCTGAAAAATACTGTGGTTATCAATCAGTATCATGGGATTAATGGTTCTTTGGTCACCTTTTGGAGGGTGTTTTATGCCAAGTATTTGTCATGGATGATTGTAAAGAGGAAAAGAAGTACAATAAAAATCCTAATGAACTACGTTATTTTTTAACACACAAATGTTTAATCTTTGAAACAGTATTTGCAATGATTTTCTAGGCTGTATGTGAAATGGTATAGTTAGCTCTTGGATTTTGGAGGAATAGTTTATTTTACTGGGTAAAAATATTAAGAAGGCTTTGTTATAAAGCTGCTTGGTTAATGATATCTGATAGAATAGAAACTTTCTCTTTAGACAGGGCTTTCTTTAAGCCCCAACCCCACAAACTATCCCAATGTAGGCAGGCTGTTGCACCCATATGAAATCTCTTTGCAGGATCCAAGCTTTTCTCTGGAGTCAAGATCACTTCTTGGGGAAGTGAGTCACAATAATGTTGCTGCTTACTAATTTCTCTGGACTTTCCAGAGTCTTGCCTACTCTGCGTTGTTTATTTGCTTTGTCTGAGTTGTATCTTATAGCTCTGAGCACTCTCGGAAAAATGTAAAGAAAAAATTATACTTTTTAAGACATCTGAAGTAACTGCTGTGTGCACAGCAAAATGATTGCATGTGAATATTTAAGAAAATTGAATGAGCAAGAATAGTTAACTTCTGGCCCAAAATACTAGTTTCTCATTTGAAAGAATTAAATAAGAAACTTCCATCCTTTCAGGTTTAAATTTAACTAAATGAGCAGAAATGTGTGTTGTCTCCATATCTTAAAAGGATGACTTATATTTAAAACTGCGTTACAGGAAGATAGCTATCTTACAGGGTAGATTTTGAGGCATTTGTGACCTAGAACATATTCTAATAGTTTGAAGGAAATGTATGCTAATAGGACCCTGAAAAATAACTACGTACTATAAATGAGAATATTTTAAAAACCTATTGGCTTACCCAGAGAATAATAAAACATTCTAGAATCAGGAGTTTTTTCAAGCAGATATAGTACTGTGTTCTGTTACCTGCATCTGGCTGTAATAGTACATTAGGTACCCATTTTATTCAGGACATGCATTGACTTGATTTACAGCTTTCTCATAAGTTAGTTTTGCAAGCAGACCTTTTGAACACAGACACTGATGTAGTCAAAGCTGGATGAGTCACTGAAGTAATATTTAGTGCTAAAGATTTACTGATTTGACCTTTCCGGACCATTCACAATGGAATTGGTATTTCTGGGGAATATCTGGACTTAAATGACTGGAATAGAGTTTAGGATGAAGTGTTTTATACTCTTGTTGAGATCAACAATGTCAGTATTTTCCTTTTTGAGGCCTTTTTTCAGGGGTTCTCAACCTCTAGCCTGTGGGCCAGGTGCAGCCCGTGGAGCCTTGTTATCTGGCCTGTGGGCTCCTCCTGGGTTGGGAAAATTTTGATTGTAGAGAAACAGTGGCCATTAATACAGCCACCCCTCCCCCCTGCTCGTTTCTCCCTCCCCTCACCAAATTCCCAAACTCCAAGCCCTGCATGGGCAGTCTGAGCTGTGCTGCGCCCCCTTTTTCCAGCAAGGCCCCTCCATATCTGGATGGGGCTGGGTTCAGCTGGCCCGTGCCCCCTTCCCCTCACTGTGGGGCTGGGTTGGGGCCAGTCCATGCCTCCTTCCTGTGCCAGCTGTAGGGTCAGGTTGAGCTGGGCCATGTCCCCTTCCTCCTGGGGGGCTAGGCATGCCCCCTTCCTTCCTCAGAGGACTGGGTTAGGGCTGGTCCATGTTCCCATCAATCGTCCTCCCTCACTCCCCCCATGGGTCCTGGTTGGGGCTGGGCTGCTCCCATCCCCACTTTAAATGGCCCGGTGGTGCCCACTGCACCCTCACTGTACTGAATGAATTTGACCTTTTCCACCTTTTGTTCTAGTATACAAAATATATCCTTGAAATTGGGAACAGTATAAAAAACAGGTTTTTAATAAAATAGTTACTTGGTGTTAGCTTTTTTTAAACACAGATGACTACTGAATCATGCCACACATTGAACATTTTGGTTTTTTTTTTAAATGTCAGCGTCTGGCAGGCGCTGTTTACTTTACTACTTTGAGAATACTTTGTTGTACTAATATCAAAGAAATGAAGAAAAGTGGAAGTCCAGTTATTTTGATACTGTCACATTCCTTTATTTTATTTTTCTCCACAGAAAATAGAGGCCCGGGTTTCTGCTGATGAAGATCTTAAACTTTCTGATCTTCTGAAATACTACTTAAGGGAATCTCAAGCTGCTAAGGTGAATTTGCTGTGCCTTGTTTTTAGTGAAGTAGTGCGTTTTATGAAAGAGCAGAGATACCTAAAGCAATGTAAACTGATGCTCATCCAGTGAACAAGCCAGAATTTCCCATCTTCATTTCCCTCCCCAAAAGCATCACATTAGAATCTTGATTTTGAGAAGTAATAGTAGCAGAATTTCATAGCAGTGTTTGTTATAGTATTTGTTCCATAGGGCATTATTTCATTAGTGGAGTTGGAAGTAATAGAGGAATGACTTGGGTAAACGGCAGACTACAGGCCGTCCTTGACTTTACAACATTCGAGTTATGATGAATGGCACTTATAATGTTTATAAATTGACACCCTGTTTCAACTTTTTGACATCAGTTTCAATTTTACAATGCTTGATCTGGCACCATGCCACGCCAGTAAATAGGTTTGCTGTGTTGCCCATCTCCCTGCACCAATGTACTGCACTGCCCATCTCCCTGACTCAAGGCACTCAGTTGTTGTTCCAACTCCATTTTTACGTGAATCTTTGTTTCCAAATTTTTTCTTAAAATTTACTCTCTCTTTGTCCATAATAATGGCAGAAAAGTGTAAATCTGGTGCAAGTGATGTTTCTAAGAAACATGGAGTAATTACTATGGAAACAAAAATGGAAATAATTAAGAGGTCCGGAAAAGGTGAGATGCCAACTGAAATTGGTAGAGCTTTGGATATCCCCCGAACGACTATTGTGGGGATATCCAAAGACAAGGTAAGAACTGAAGAACATGTATAGAGGCCGAGCCCTTAACAATCAATTTTGATAGCTAAACAACGTGTTGGACTTATTGTTCAGGTTGATAAACTGTTAGTCATTTGACTGGAGGATCAAAATCAATGCTGTGCTCCTGTGAATTTAGGCATAATTCAGAAAAAGGCTAGGAGTCTTTATGATTATCTAAAGAAATAACAGGGGGAGAGTTCTAATGCTGAGCCTCTTAATGCAAGTAGTGGGTAGTTTATGCGTTTTAAAGCCAGGGCCAATTTGCATAACATCAGCATCCCAGGTGAAACTGCCAGTGCTGATGAGGAGGCAGCTTGTGCTTTTCCTGAGACATTGGCTGCAGTCATTAAAGAGGGTGGGTATTGTGCTCGGCAAGGTTAACGAAACTGGGTTCTTTTGGAAGATGCACCCTCTGTTGAAGAGACTCCTTGTAAAGTCTTGACAACAAAAGTGTTGGCTGAGGCATTTCAATATTTGGAAGCTGTCAAGTCCTTGTTTTAGGAACATGACCCCAGTGTTGAACACAGTGCATCAGTGAATAGGGGCATATCCAAGATGTACAGTTGCTACAAGCAAAAGAGGAGAACATCTGTCCAAACATCCTTGGGCAGTTTCTTTAAGAAAGCAGACAAGACTCCAGAAAAACCTGCAGCCAGGACTCCTGAGAAGACTCCAGCCAAGAACCCCTCAAAAAGTCCAGCAAAGTCACCTCAAAGAAGTCCTTCCAAATTAATTGGATTGCTATTTACAATAGAAATATATTAATATAGCTATATTACTCATCTGTAACTGATAATTCTGGGTTATTTTTGGTGAAAATAGTGTATTGGGCCTTGGTTCAGGAACCAATCCCCCATATATAACATTGTTCCTATGGGAAAATTGATTCTGAATTACAATGTTACCACGTTTAGACTTAAGACGCGGTTTTCAGGAACCAATTGTGTCATAAGTCTGAGGGCCACCTGTACTTTAAATGTCCTAACTTAAAAAATAAATGGCTTATTTCAAGCACTCTAAAACCCTGGATAGTTTTTAAATTAAATGTATTATAGGCAAATTTAGTACCAAAAAGAATTTGCTTGGTGAGAGCAAACAGTAACGTCATGAGGAAATGATGTACAAGCAATGGCTACTTACAGAAAACAGTCATAATGGTGGTTGTGTCAACCATATTAAAAATGCAAGTAAATAGTGTTTCTCAGGCCACGCATGTTTTTCAGATTTGTAACTTAAAATGGTAATTTGCTACTGATCTGCTGGGAGGGTGTAGAACTCCCCATGTTGATCCATTCCTGGGTTTTTTTTAAAACGTTATCCGAACTGTGGTGTTGGCTACTGTTAGGTTACTAAGCTGTGTGGAACCAGTGATCTGATCCAGTATGGCAATCCTTATAAATTGCAAAAACAAAATAGCTCTGATATTTATTAAAATAAGAATAATCTCAAGGAAGAATAAAATGAATCTGAGATGATGGTATAGTGTAGGTATAGGTGTAGTGTAGGTATAGTGTTCCAAGTGTAGGTACTTGTAGAATATATATATATCTCTGTCTCTATTTTTTACTCTGTTTTTTCAGGATCTCCTATATAGAAGATCTAGGTCCCTAGTAGACTATGAAAATGCTAACAAGGCATTGGATAAAGCAAGAGCAAAGAACAAAGATGTGTTGCAAGCCGAAACCACTCAGCAACTCTGTTGTCAGAAATTCGAAAAAATATCTGAATCGGCAAAGCAAGGTATTTGAACAATCGCATGCTATATTTGTCTCTGTTTACTTGAATGGCCTTAATTTGTTGAACATTATCTGTAATCTGTTTTTTGCTTTCTTTCAAACAGGCCCTTGTTGATGTATAATACATATTTATTTGTGACTTATCTTGGGTCATTCAGATTTCCTTCGAAATTAGTGGAGCCTTCTGATGCTAATATTACACTTAAGTGACTGGATTTCCTGAAAGTAAAGATGCAAATTAGTCATTTCTTGTTTTGGTATACATGAGGGCTGTCCAACTTCCAAATACTATGTCATGCAAGTCGTACACTACAGTGCTGTGTGGCACACTGCTGTTTCCCATGCACTGCTACATGTGGCCTCTTTTGGGTTGCGTGCCCCACCCCTCCACTGCACTATGCTCATGCACTGTCTCTCATCCCATGGTCTTCTGAGTTCCTTGTTCAGTTCCTTTGGCTGCTCTCTACTGCCCCATTTCCTGGGGAACAAACCAGAAGTTGAAAGGGTTGGAGGTAGCCCATAGGTGGAGGGAGAAAAACTTATTTGCGGGGACTGAGCACATGCATACGTGTGCACACCGCCCCTCCTGCCCAGTGGGTAAGTCTGTGGGGGAAGGGCCGTGGCGGGGCAGATTGAAGCTCCTGAGGTGAGGGAGGGAGTAGGGCAGGGGCAGGAGTGAATGGGGCCCCAGCCAGGCCAGGTGGTAGGACAGTTGAAGCCTGGGCGGCTCATTGAGGGGTGCCGGGGGCCCAGGGGGCACATACACTCCCCCGATCTGTGTGGGGCAGAGACAGCTGCCTCTGTGCCTGGGGCTCTGGGCCTTGCTGCCAGTGCAGCTGCCTTGGGAGAGGCATGATGCCATGTGTGTCCTGCTGCCACTGGGCTGTGCTGCGCCCCCTGACCGCCTGGCAGCGGGAAGCACTTGGCGTTGTGCAGCTCCCCAGGCAGCTGCACCAGCAGCAGGGCCCAGAGTACCAGCATGCAGCAGCAGCTGCCTCCACCCTGTGCACAGATCAGGAAGCACGTGCCCCCCCGGGCCTCTGCCAGGGTGCACACAGTGGCAGGACCCCCCCGCACCCTTGGATGAACCGCCTGGGCTTTGATTATCCCACCATCTGGCCCAGCTGGGGCCCCATTCACCCCATCCCCTGCTTCTGCCCTACTCCTTCCCTCAATGTGGGGGCCTTGATCTGCCCCTTCCCCTTCAGAGAATAGATTGATACTTGCCTGCTGTGCTGGGCAGCCAGTCATACACATGCCAGGTTGCAATCCTGGTTGTGTGTGTGCCTGTCCCCACTCCTGCTGCAGCCACCTGAAACCCGCAGCCGGGCTGCCCCATGGCCCTACCCACTGCCCCGTGTCTGGGGAGCTGAGCCCTGTTAGCCCCAGCCTTCTGTCGCCCCTGGGGGATCCTGGAGACTCCCAGAAGGGCAGCAGCAGTTGGAGTGGTGGGGGCAACAGCCTTCAGACTAGGAGTCTGGGGGATACAGCTTAACTCCCTTCAGGGGCTGCACACGTCTCTTGGGCTGTTAACTGGTCAGCTCTGGACAACAGCATAACTGACTGCAAACAGTAATGCCAAACCTAAGCTCAAGTTCAGTTGAAGTGTCCCATACAAGCCCATCTGTCCTCTGTCTGGGACAGCAGCACCTTTTTGCAGGTGGCTCTGGGTCAAGTTAGATGAAACAGTGAAGAGAGGTTTTGTTGGAGTTCGGTCCAAACTGGAGCAACTTTGGGGGATAGAAGGAGCTCCTCCAAAGAAGAGGGTCTATTCAGTGGATCTCTCCTGAGAGTCTGTTCCCCTTCATGGTTAGGATGGGTCTAGAAAAATGGTTTTCTCCCCCAACATTTGCATCCCTTATCCTAACTTAGTCCCTGGTCAGCACCTTGGATACCTGGCAACACCAGTAGCTAGATTTCTTTGGCCTTGTACATTTGCCAAAGTTGATTCTTTGCAGAAAGCTGTGGATGAGAGCTCCTGAAGTATTCAAGCAATAGTTCTGTCTTTTTAAGCCTCACCTGCTGTTACTGGCTTTGATCCCATGTCTGCCAAGGGATTCTTCATATTTGGAGTCTCTGGACAGAAAGTAGTGGGGATGGGAGAAGATGGAATTCACTCTTTAAACATTTAGGGCATTTTTACATGTATTCCTGATGCAACACCAGGCACTTTTAATTAGCAAGCCGTGCTAATTAATAGTGCCTGTGTGTCATGTATCAGTGGTGTAGCGTGTCCCCATGCTGAGAAAATGGTGGCAGGGCATTTTGAATTAAAGCACGTTGAACGTGTTTTATTTCAGGGCTCAATGCCACCATTTTCTCAGCTCGGAGACACGCAGCAGCACTGATACACAACATGCAAGGCTGCCAGAGCATGTAATTTATGTGTTCCAGCAGACTTAATTAATCAAGTCTGCTCTGATGTGCTGAATTTCCAGCATGTTGGAGCAGGCTCCCTGCACATGTGTAAGTACCCTTAGTGCCTAAACTACTGCTTCTCTTTGAAAAAGCTTTGCATATATAAAAGCTGCTGTTAGGAGAAGATGGCCCAGTTGCACTTTAAGGCCTTGTCTAAACTGTAGTTAGCAGATAGGCTAATTGGCCCAGACGTTCAGCCATGCAGTGAGCCTACCCAGAGTGCTGCACAGATGCAGCTAGATGCTAGCTGGTTTAGAATGCAGCCTGCTGTGAACAGTGCAGCATGTGCTACTGCCAGTGCAGTAAGTTTACCTTGTAGATATGGCCTAAAGTGTCTTTTTATTTTAACAGTGCATCAGTAGCTCTGTGCCTAGGTTGTGGGATCAGATTTAAGCTTGATATTTATGTCTTAAGTAGAACTTAAATAACATCATTGCACTTAATTTAATGGGGTTCAAACGTCTGTTTTCTACAGAACTTATAGACTTTAAAACAAGAAGAGTTGCAGCATTCAGGAAAAATCTGGTGGAACTGGCAGAACTGGAACTGAAGCACGCTAAGGTAATTGGAATCTATTTTTGCTTCCGTTTAAGACAGTTGTTTGATCTTGTATACCTGGATATCTAAAAAAGGGCCAAATGTACTTTATGATGTGTATTCCTCCAAAGAGTGTGGAGGAACATATCATTTGAAAGGTGGACTTCTTTAGGACGTTGTAAGAATTTAAGAATGCAGGCAGAAACTTTCACTGGGACTTATGCACTTCACGTGCTTTTAGACCAAGGGTGTCAAAGATGCAGCCTGCGTGTGGATCTGGCCCATGGAACCCCCTTATGTAGCTTCTGGTGCTGCCCCTGGGTTGACCTACACATGCATGCTGAACTGGTCTCCCTCCGCATGCAGGGCTGGGACTGTGCTGCATGTGGTGCCTGCTCTGGCTGCTTCCAGGATGAGGATCAGGCACTGGATCCAGCATGGGAGGAGGGGTAGGGGGTGGTTATCTGCATGCCGGAGCCAGTCCCTGCTCTGGCCAGTCTGGGATGGTGCTGCATGCAATGCATGCTCTAGACTGGTTGGAACAGGTGCTGAGTGCAGCTCGCATTGTGGACCAGCCAGAATGAGTGCTGCGTATGTTGTGTCTGGCATGCTGGGAGGCTGGAGTCTGTGTGCTCAATCCAGCTCACGCCACTCATCTGGCCCACAAGGCTAGATTAGCTCAACATCCCTTGTCTAGAGTTTTGCTTGTTCTATTTCATATTTTACCCTTATTATTGGGCTGTCTGCCTAGTTTGAGAGCCTCTCCATCAGTACTGAATGTTATCTTGACAACACCACTTTATCCCTTTGAGTCACTCTCTTAAAACACTAAATAGGAAACTAAAGTTGCAGGTAATTTTTTCACTGAACTAAAAGGTTTAAAGCAGGCAAATTACTATTCCCAAAAGGATTTAAATATACGATGGCTAAATACTACAGTGCATTTGGGCAACCTTTCTCTTGGGCCATAGGAAGGTAATAATTTGCCTTTTCTCTTGTAAGGGATTTTTCAAAATAGCAATGTTGAAGTACCTTTTTCCTACAGAATTCAGATTAAGCATTATCACTGCCTGTATACGTTCGCATAAACCCAAATTTTTTAGGAATGTATTTTGAGTATTTGAGGCTGAATGAAACTAGGTATCTGCAATCTAAGAAAGGTGTGCATGTAATGTGTGTGGCAACTTTTGTTTAAATTGGACTGGCCACTTCAGTTTGATGTAAAACAGTTTGGTTTGCATGTCTATTTAAAGCTATGCTATGGGATGTAATACCTTTTCTTGAAGCGTAACGTTCAACTCTCTCTCTTATCTACCCTTCCTCATCCAACTGAAAATAAAGTAGGGAATTCAACAAATTTTTACTCAAGATAGGTATTTTGTGGTGGAAGTACTAGAATGAGTGGGGCTTTTCACTTGGTATTTTAAAAGGCTAAATGCACAAGTCACCTAGATCGATCCATAAGAACTATCATTTTACTAGTTCTAGAGAAGCACAATCTTAGTGTCCTTATTTTGTTTAGTTTGCTATTTAGATGCTGTTTGGAAATTGAGGTAAACATTGAACTTTTTAATGTGCTAGAAAGCAGGGAAATTGAGCATACAGATAGTTTTCAAGTACTTATTTTTGGCTTTATTTCTTACATTCTCAGAATTTGTTGTGTCCTGAGTAGAGTTATAAGATTTTTTAATCCCTTTCTGGAGCTGAGTTTCTGTAACGGAAAAAAAAACTAGGCAGGAGGGGCAGGTGCTAGGGGGTGTAGGCATTTGGGGGGGGGGGGGGGGGGGGGGGCAGGGATAGAGTTCCGCTTGCTTTCCCCCCTCCCATCTTCATGCCTCTTCCCCTTCTGCCTGCCCCCACTGCAGCAGTTGGGGAGACAAATTCAAGATGACCCCCAATAATTAGGTTCTATACATGGAAAATTATAATAAACTTATAAGTTTCTTATTTATAGAATCTAATTTATTAAGGGGGGTTTCTTAAATTCAGAGTTGTCTGGGATTCAGGTAAATAAAGTATTTTAAACTGAACAAATTCCTTTCAATTCTGAGTTTCTGTCAAATAAGTGGGAAAGTGTGTCCAGTGTACAGCCATCTTATGGGAAAGTTGCATAGAAACCTATTTAATTATAGTTTCATAGTTGGTAGGGTTGGAAGGGACCTGAGCAGATCATCAAGTCCGACCCCCTGCCATGGCAGGCAAGAGTACTGGGGTCAAACGACCCCGGTGAGGTGTTTATCCAGCCTCCTCTTAAAGACCCCCAGGGTAGGAGCCAGCACCCCTTCTGTTAGAAGTTGGTTCCAGATCCTAGCTGCCCTGACAGTGAAGTAGCGAATCCTGATGTCTAGCCTGAATCTACCCTCTGCCAGCTTGTTATTTCTTGTCATTTCTGGTAGTGCTCGGGGGAACAGGCACTCCCCCAATGCCTGCTGGTCCCCCTGACTAGTTTGTAAATGGCCGCTAGATCCCCCCCATAGCCTTTTCTTGTGGAGGCTGAACAGGTTCAGGTCCCTTAGCCTCTCCTCGTAGGGCCTGCCCTGCTGATCCCTGATCATGCAGGTGGTTCTCCTCTGGACCCTCTCCATGTTGTTCATATCCCTTCTGAAGTGCGGCGCCCAGAACTGGACGCGGTACTCCAACTGCAGCCTGACCAGTGTTGCATAGAGGGGGAGGGGATCACCTCCTTGGACCTGCTCGAGATGCATCTGTGGATGCATGACAAGGTGTGGTTGGCCTTCCTGACCGTGTCCTCATACTGCCGGCCCATGTTCATTTTGGCATCAATAACGACCCCCAGATCCTTTTCTGCCTCTGTACTGACGAGAAGGGAGTTCCCCAGCCTGTAGGTATGCTGCTGGTTCTTCCACCCCAGGTGCAGCACCCTGCACTTCTCAGTGTTGAAACCCATCCTGGTCTCATCCACCCACCCCTGTAACCTGTGTAGGTCCGATTGCAGCCTATTCCTCCCTTCTAGAGTGTCCACTTCTCCCCACATCTTAGCGTCATCTGCGAATTTGAACAGGGTGCTTTTTACCCCCCTGTCCAAGTCACTGATGAAGATGTTGAATGGTGCAGGCTCAGAGGACTGAGCCCTGGGGAACCCCACTGCCCACATCCCCCCAGGTCAAAAATGACCCGTCCACCACCACTCTCTGGGTACGGCCCTCCAGCCAACTAGTGACCCATCTGACTGTGTAGGTGTCGATGCCACAGTCTCCTAGTTTTTTAATAAGAATGGGGTGAGAGACCGTGTCAAAGGCCTTCCTAAAGTCCAGAAAGACCATGTCCACTGCTACCCCTGCATCTAAGGATTTGGTGACCTGGTCATAGAAGGCCACCAGGTTGGTCTGACAGGACCTGCCTCTATTGAACCCATGCTGGTTGCCCCTAAGCATAATCTCCCCTGCTGGCCCCTCATGGACATGCGCCAGGATAATTCTCTCAAAAAGCTTACCCTGGATCGAGGTAAGACTAACTGACCTATAGTTTCCTGGGTCTTCCTTCCTCCCTTTTTTGAAAATGGGAACCACATTGGCCCTTTTCCAGTCCTCTGGCACCACACCAGAGCACTATGAGTGCTCGTAAAGCCGTGCCAGGGGTCCCGCAATGACTTCTGCTAATTCCCTCAGCGCTCTGGGGTGGAGGTTGTCAGGACCTGCTGATTTAAATGCGTCCAGTCCCTCCAGACATTCCCTTACTAGAACCTCACTGACCCTAGGCCTGGGTGCGCCTCCCCTGGGGCCTGAGGGAGTCCTGCTGCAGGGGGTGACCTGCTCAGAAAAACGGAGGCAAAGAAATTGTTAAATAGTTAGTTCTTGTTATCACAGAACTAAAATAGTTTTGAATGCTGTTGAGTAAGGATGTAGTCCTGACATGGGCAAGGACTCAGCAACCCATGACAGAGAACAGAATGCTTATCTTATAAATAAAATTAGATCCTGACATGTGTCTGTGAAGTGGAACAAGAGCCAATTTTGAGAGACGACCTGCAATAAAAAAATGTTACCTTCCTTAGAAGAGATGGAGGTAACAGGATGTGTTACTCCTCTACCCCCCAGTAGTTGAGAAACTGAATACATCTCAGTCTCTCAATCCCTAGAAGTTCCTGAACAGTCTGCTGTTAACTTGGTGGTGAGGAATATTGGTTGAGGAAAACAATCTTACAAACAAATTGCAGTGAACATAAGCGAACCAGTTCACGTATGGCTTGTTTTAGGACCCTAAGACTGGGCAGTTAAGTGTTTAGATAATTACTTTAGATATATGAGGCACTTTAAAAAGCCTATCCAAGGCTGTAAGCAGGTTTGATACAGTAAATACAGAATTTGAACTAGAACCAAGTAGTGGCTTCCCCAAAACCAGAAATTAACAGCAAAGTCCCAAGAATTACTTTCCCACAAATAGTGGCTGTTCTGCTCCTGCCTCCCTAGATTTCTTGGAAAAACAGTCTTGATTGCTTAGCAGGCCAACAGATTTTTACTATTTTGGTGGTGAAGGGGGGAGGAGAAGGGAGACAAACTTTCTAAAGTCAAGGGGGCCTCACCACTGGTTGCTCCTTGCTTTAAAGAGGTCTCAAACTAGAGCACTGATACTAGACATAGCTATAATAATTGTTCATGGGGAAAGATGACATTGTGTCAGTACAGAATAAGCAAGTATTTTACTAACTAAAAGAATGGATTGGGTGTAAGGACAGACAGAGCTGGTGATGGAGTCTTAACTGAGAACGGTGTTCCAGTTTTTTTCCAAAGCAGGGTAAAGAAGATCAAAGAGAGTTAGGGGTCATTTGTGAGATTTTTTTTTTTTTTTTGTGAAGTCTTTTGAACTTAATTTAACTGCATTGTTTGGAAAGAGGATTTACAAGGAAATCCAGGAACTTTAGTGAATAGTAGGGTGTGGAGAGCACTAGATTTTAATTAAGTCAGAAGCTTTGTTTTTGCGTTAAATCTTGTTCAGAGCTGTTAAGTAACACAGTACTCTCTAATGCTGAACCTCGCTCTGAGTAAAAATAGTATATGCAGTTATGATTGGTATGGTAAGAACTATAAAAACTCAGTTTAAATGCTTCACAGATTATGCTGATTGCTCACTGGGGCTAGGAAACAATTCCTCATATAGTGTAATTGGGCTTTCTGAGGGTTGTATCTACATTTTATATAGGAGTAAATGGAACATTAGGATGTTAACACTCATTTCAACAATTCCTATTTTTCCTTCCTGTTAGAGAATATGCTGTATGCAATTATTTGCATTTCTAAAACAGCCAGAGAATTGAAAGAGACACAACAAGAAATGCAGATGTGGACAGCAGTTTATAAAGTGCTTAACTTCCTTTAAATTCTGAAAAGGGCAGCTTAGGTATCTATGGTCAACTGTCTTTTTTCTCTCTAAATACTATAGTTGTAAATAAAATCTTGCTCCAACTGCCAGCTCCTTTAACTCAGCCTGGGATCTGAAAATCATGCCGTGCATTTAGGTTTGTCCATTGCTAGAAACACAAAGTTTGCATGTCAAATTTTGATTTTTTTGTTTTGTTTACAGATACTGCAATACAGTATCTGTAACAGTATTCATACAAACAAACACAAGCAGATCTGTGCTGTTCTTACATTTTTCAAATGGGGGTCATCCGTTCAATTAGTGGATTAGGCACCTGATTGTTTTTTCTCAATTTCTGAAAGGAAAAATATAGAAATATCCAACATCATTTGATATATTACATGAAATACTGTTGCTTTGTGAAGAAAAATCTGAGGACAGTCAGTAGTACTACCTTCACTGTGGAGCAGGGAGTATCTGTGAGGATATATTCCACGGGCATCTTGGAGTCTGTGTGAAACAATTTTAATTCTAACAGGATTAAACAGAGCCTCTGAAAATATTGTTCTATATCAAGAACAGACTTCTGGGAAGGAGGTGAGAGGTAGAAGAACATCTAATTTAAAATAACTAACTCTGAAAGTGCGTGCATGCGTGCATCCCAGAGGTCTGGGTTCTGAGCACCCGGCAGGGGTCAGAGGCCATTCTAGGTCTAGGCCACCAGGCAGGGATGATCTGGGCCCCAGCCAGGCTGCAGCCTCCCCTCCCCAGTGCTGGGGGCTGCTCCATGCTGCTGGGCACCCCAGGCTGAGCTGGACACCAGGCTTGGGGGAAGTGGGAGGTGGGGGCAGGGTTAGGATCTGCTCTGGGTCTCTGCCACCATTTGGCAGCTCAGTGGGTCTGGGCACCACAAGAGAGTTGATGGAGAGAGAGAAAGCAGGAACATTGGGATGGTGAGAGGTGGAGATGGACAGAGATAGACAGCTAGATGATAGGTTTATGGATAGAGGGATAGTGATACCTAGGTAGAGAGAGAGAGATAATGGATGGGTAGGTAGACAGGGTTATACTGTTGGTGTGTGGAGAGGAGTAAGGGATGGATGAATAGACAGGGATTATGGAGATGGATGGCTGGATGGACAGATGAATGGGTGGATGGGGTTATGGAAACGGACAGATAGCTGACTGGTTCATTGGCTAGATGGACAGATAACTAGATATATGGATAGATGAATAGAAATATCTATGTAGATAGACAGAGATTGAGAGATGGATAGACAGACCAGAGATGGATAGAGATAGATAGATAGATGGTCTAGATCATTGGATGGATGGATGGACTGGTTTGAGGGAGGGATGGATGGAGATGGACAGATAGGTAGATGATAGATGTATGGATAGAGATATCTAGGGAGATAGATGGATAAACAGGGATATAGGTACTTAGAGACACAGAGAGATGGATATAGAGATGAATAGATGGAGATATCTAGATAGAGAGATAGAGGGCAAGAGATAGAGATAAAGATGGATAGAGAGGGACAGCTGCATATAGATAAATGATACATGGAGAGATGAAAAGAAATATCAGGGTAGAGACAGAGGTAGAGATAGATGGATAGAGAGGGAGAGGGATAGAGAGGTAGCTGGAGAGACAGATAGATGGACAGATGAAGACAGAGATAGATAGGTATCTAGGCAGATAGACAGATGGATGGCCAGAGATAAACGTAGACAGAGGGACAGAGGTGACGGCCGCTGTGTACAAAACCTCCCGCTGTGGCTGCAGAGCTGTGCTCGGAGCTGTGCGGCCGGCGGCAGTGGCGCAGTGCGGGATGGTGGTGGGGATGGCTTCCTGCCACCTGGCCACCACCATGTTGCTGCTGCCGCTCAGCGACTGGCCATACAGCTCTGGGCGTGGCTCCATGGCGGCAGCAGGAGGTTTTGTAGGCAGCAGCCATCACGGGCCTCCAGGTAAGCAGCAGCGCCATGTGCAAGCCCAAGCCCGCGCCCCCATCTGTCACCGTGGCTGCAGAGCTGGTCATGGAGCTGTGATCCGGCTGCATGCCAGCCTCCCTCTCCCCCTCCCCTGGGCAGGCGGTATGTGTGCAGCACGCACATTGGTGGGCACCACCACACTGTGCCCCACATTGCTTGCCCGCAAAACCCCCTGCATAGGGGCTCCCCTGCTCTCACCCCCTGGCTCTGCTCCCAGCTACGGTGTGCCGCCTGGGGCCAGCAGCCCCCGCCATTCCCTCAGCCCCCAACCACCTTCCCCAGCCCTGCCTCACAGCCCCAAAGCCCCACTTACCTCTAGGATCCAGGGGCGAAGGGCATGGCTCCGCAGTGGCAGTGCTTGCCTGTATAGTCCCCCCACCCTGCATGCAGCTGCCACCACCCTGCACCGCCACAGAGCTGCGCAGCCAGTTGCGGGGCATGCTCTTGCATGCAAGCCCCGTTTCACCCCCTGGCTGGGTGGCACGTATGTGGCCCGCACATGGTGGTTGCCACTGGTGTGCCCTGTGCCCCTTGCCCACAAAGCCGTGCAGGTGGCCGTGGGATGGTAGTGCAGGGTGCAGTGGCAGACTCCATTTGCAAACCTCCTGTCAGGCTGGCTGGCATGTGTGGCCCACAGAGTAGCACCCCTGCCCTCACCCCCTGGCCCTGCTCCTGGGAGTGGGCACAGGGGTACACACCCGCTTCTTGATTTACCCTTTTAATTTTTATCATGGATTTTGGGTTTTTAATCAGAGAATTTGCAATCTTTAATCAGAGAAAACCAGGATCACTGCTTATAGTGACAAATTGCAACTGTATTTAAACGCTTTTTTTTTTTTTTTTTTTTTTTTTTACCAGAGTAAAACTGGGAAATTATCACAGTTTTCTTTATTTCTACAGGGAAATTTACAGCTGCTGCAGAGCTGCTTGGCAGTGTTAAATGGAGATACATAAATAATTATCTATCCCTCCTCTAACAAGGGCTGCCCTCCTGGATTTTGTTTTCATGACTTCAAATAGGTATTTACAGCTCACTGGAGAAATCAATTGACCAAGTGCACATAAACAAGCTCCTCTTCTTTAAAAACAAAAACAAAAAAACAAAACAAAACAAAAAGTAAAAGAAAACAATTGAAGCCACCTGAAAGCAGTTCCAGACTATATGAAGCAACAGCATACTTATTATACGCGCATATTCGCACATACGTTTATTTAATCATTGTATGCTTTCATTGTTCAAAAACCAAATGTTCTGTTTTTTGTGAAAGTAGCCAATATAATTATGTTCATGTTATGAATAGTATTATGGTATGGCTGCCAATCTTATTTACCTTTGTAAGTAACTTCTAAAGTTGTCCATTTGAATTACACTGCTCAGATGGATTAAATATTGCCATTAGATGTTTGAATATTCTTACTATAAAACATTGTATACATTGTCTTAGTTTCTCCATGTACTGATATCAAGTCTCTTACAACCTGATTTTTTTTTTTCAATTAACCATTTCCTAGAGATTTTGGAGGAAACTTTATGTAATCTTTATAACTATGATCTAAAAAGAAAAGCAAATGCATTAGTATGTTTGCCTTAACTTGTAGACTAATCCCAATTATTGTAAAATAAACTGTGAAATCCATGATTTTTCTAAAATTACGCAGAGATTGTATCATCTGTAATAGTTTTAATAGTATTCCTAATAAGTCTGGTTATTTTGATCAACACTTCTGCTACTTATTCTCTAAACCAGGCTTGTCCAACATGCGGCCCACGGGCCATGCAGCCCTCCAAGCATGTTTTCTGAGGCTCGAGGTCCCTTGCTCGGGACAGGCAGGTGGTGGAGAGGAGGGGAGCTGGGCCAGGGCCGTGTGACCTCCCATGTCACATGAGTGGGTCCTGCCACTGCCCCGAGGGCTGCTTAGCATGGGGCTGCCCTGGCTGCGCCTGATGAGACGAGCTGGTGGGGACAGCACCCACTTTTACTTGCCTCCAGCTTGGCTCCTTTCCCCCAGTGACCTGCCCACCTCCCGGGACCTGCTGGGCTCGGCGGCCGCAGGGCAGGGTGGGAACAGGGTGCAGCACCTGGCGCAGGCAGTCAGCAGGGCAGCCCCGGGGGGGGGGCTCAGCAGGCGGGGTCCTGGTGTGACCTCTGCGGGTCGAGGTGGTGGGAGCCAGTGTCCACTGGGCCCTGTGCTCCAGGCTCACAGCGCTGAGGCTGTCAGGGCTGCGTGCATGGGTGGCTGGGCACTGTGGTGAGCGGAGCCATGCAGGCAAGGGGCTGCGGTGCAGCGGCTGCCTTGCTCCGGCCCCCCTCGGGCAGTGCCAGCTCATGGGGCTGCACTGCTCAGGGGCGGCCTTGGGGGGAAGGGGGGATTGTCGCTCCCTGTGGCTGGGCCGGGCGCTGCTCTCCAGCCACTGCAGCTGCCTGCACCCTCCCGGGGGCCATTTGCCTTCGCTGCAGGGAAGCGCAGAGGAGCAGAGCGGCCCCTGTTTCCACGAGGCCTTCCCCTGCCAGGATCTGCCCTGGGCAGACCAGGCCTGAGCCCCTGCCAGGCTGGGAACCAGCTTCACTCCCGCAGTTTTGCCGTCCCCTGTCTAATGCGTTGGCTGGGCCCCTGCCTCGTCTGCCCGAGCGCTGCCAAGACTTCGGGCAACGGTGTTGCTGGTGTGGGCAAGGCCTGGAGCAGCAGTGGCATAGGCGCCCCCTTGGCCTGTGTGAGAGCACCAGCTACATTGGCTTGGTCACATATTTTAACATGGCTGTCCAATATCTTTTGGGACTGCCTTCAAATGGTGGTGGTAGTAGGCAGAAGGGGGGCCCCAGCTGTTGGGATGGCTGGTCCAGGACATCATTTGCTGTAGTTTGTCACTAGCTGAGCACAGGTCGGGGGTTATGCCAGCTTTGCCTTATTTCAGGCTTGTCCAACATATACAGCCTTTGGGATGATAAAATACGAATATGGCTCTCCGGCCCACTGGGTGATAAAAAGTTCATGATCTGGCCCCACATTCAAAAAGGTCGGACACCCCTGCTCTAAACTAACAAGGGCAGTGGATTGGGCCGGTCATTGTCCCTAGATTCATACCATGCCACTTCTCACCTAAATTTTGACATGCCTTGTTTTTTTTGCCTTTTTGTTGGAAGTGGATTTACCTAGCCTGCTTGTAGTCAAATACTGTTTTTTTTGCATGTGGTTGTCTTTCCACAAGAAAGGAATGTTTAATTCCAGATTCTAGTGGGAAGGAGAAGACAAGTGGCAGAAAAGAGGCATCTCCTCTTGGTCACAGGCAAGATGCTCTGTCTTCCCACCCCCTGCTAAAAAAAAAAAACCCAGTGAAGGGGTGACAAGGAAGGATTTCTCTGCTCCAGATTTGTAAACGACAATTCAGAGTTCAGTTAAGACGTGTATCCTGTACATCCTTTTGTTGATGGGATGTTTTGTGCGTCTCATTTGAACTCCAAGTCTTTTTTTGCCCTGCACTTCTGCTCAGCTGTCCGCTTTGTCTGCTCCATGAATCACCCCGGCCAGGGCCGCCGTGCTGCTGTGCGGACCACTGCCTACCGCCTCCCCTGCGGAGCCGGCCGGGAGCAAGGAAGGAGGCCAGCGGGTTCAGAAGAGAGGAGACTCCCCTGGGCCGGAGGGCCGCTCGCGCACCGCGTTTGAACGTCACTGACCTCAAATGTGGGCGAACGGGGAGGGAAACGAGGCAGCTCTACGACTTGCTGCTGCACCTGTGATGTTCACGGTGATGGCTGACGTCACAGGTGGGCGCCGGCGGGAGGGGCGGGTCGCACCTCGCAGCTGCGCTGCCACCAAGGCGGCCGGCTGCCTCTGCGCCCGACCCCGCCTCCGCAGCGCCGGCTCCCCCCCCCCACGACCCCTACGTGATCGAGGAGCCCAGCGACGAGGAGCCGGGGCAGAGCAGGTACCGAGCCGCCCCCTCCCGGAGCCTGGCTGCGGCCGGGGTGCTAGGCCCGGACCCGCGCGGGGCTGCCTGGGCCCTGGCTGCGGGGGGCCGGGCCGGTTCACGCGCCGCGCAGTCGCTCGGGCCGCCTGAGCGAAGCCGGTGTCGTATCTGTATGATAACTTCAGCCCCCGTACGATGTACAATCAATAGTAAAAGTGCTCAAAATGTACGGGAGCAGACAAGCTTCTTTGGGTGAATCTGGTATCTTTTATTAGACCAATGTAAATAGTTGGGAAAATGTTTCTTGCTAACTATTTAAGTTGGTCTAATAAAAGATACCAGATTTGTCCAAAGAACCGTGTCTGCCTATGTCCTTAGACCAACACAGCCACAACCTGCACCCCTGCAAAATGTACAATAATTTTTGAGGCAGCAAATTGACGCAGCACGTGCAAAACCCAAGTCATTATCAGGGAGTCTTACCTGGCTTTTGGGCTTGCTGTCAGCACATCCTTAGGGCTGCTTGCCTCTGAATAAAGAAATTGGAGGTGCACCAATACGTTGGTCCATATCATATTGGCACCAATGAAAGGAAAATTGACACGGCTCCTCTGGCGGTGCATGTAGCAGCTGAAGCTCCCACCCCTCCCTGGGCCCCGCCAGGCGAGCTGTGTGGCTCTGTCCCATGCCCTGCCTGCCTGCTCCTGCCCCACTCCCTCCCTCCCTCACCGCAGGGGATCTGCCCCTCGCATCCCTTTCACTCACAGACTTACTGGCCAGACACTGCTGATCGGTATTGGCCAATATGGTTCATTAATAATCGGCCATCGGCATCAGCTCAAAAATATTTCTATCAGCGTGCCCTAAAAGAAATGTTTCAATTTTGACCCAGTTCTCACTCATTATGATTTACAGTGAGCGATATACAAAGTAAGAAGACGACGTATTTGCATACTTATTTGCATATTTTTCCATGTACAATAGTTTTTCAGCAAACATGATAATTTTGAGCTTCCCATATAGTAATTTCATATTTAAGACCTGGCAGCGCTGGTTGAAGCAGCGTACAGGGAGCTGCGGGCAGTGACGCCCGCCATGGCCTGTAGGCTCCCGCCCCTGCCTGTCACCCATCACCTGCCCCGACCGCACAGGGCACCAAGTGGGGCAGGACTGGACACACACGTGCAATGAGGTGGCATCGTTTGCAGCAGCCCCTGCACTCCAGCCTCATCTTCTTTGAAAACCCCTCCTGCTCTCCAAGCTCTTTGCTGGAGCTCATTTACAGGTTGAGTCTGGGGAGGTGGGGGTTGGTTTAAATGGAAATAGTGAGGAATCCCAGTGCTGCTGCACAAGCTGTTGCCTGGGCATGGAGCCCTGCTGACAGCACGCGACCCAGGTCCTGCAGGGACAGTGCTGGGCCATGGGGCGTCACCTGTGGGCTTGGGGGTCTTAGCATGTAGGACGGAGCGGGATCCACAAGAGCTTCTCAAGTCAGTGACGTGTTTCTTGAGGCCTTCAAACCATTTGAAGTGGGGGAGGGGAGTCGGCAGCATGGAACTTCTTGACTGTTAATAACCGATGTGAACGGTTAAATCTCTCATAGCTCAGAAGATGAAGTGGATGTGCTCCTGCATGGCACCCCTGATCAGAAGCGCAAACTGATCCGGGAGTGCCTCACTGGGGAGAGTGAGTCCTCTAGTGAAGATGAGTTTCAGAAGGAAATGGAGGCTGAACTTGACTGCACTATGAAAACCATGGAGGGGAAGTGGAAGGCATTAGAAGCAGGTACATGTATTTTAATACCTGCTTTTCTGTCAAGTTGTAAATGAAGTGTGGGCTCACTGAGGAGTTATGTTACGCATTATTCTGTCCCGGGATATGGAAAAGAAGAGTTCTGCTGACAATCCACTGATCACTGAAGAATGGCCGGTCACTTCTTGGTAAAGTGGTCAGCAGTGAAATACTTTTCTTAGCCACTTAAATGACTGCCCTATGTTCTGGAAAACTCATTTAGTTGAATAGGGTTATTCACACTTCTAGGGACTTTCTTCTTTTCCTGGTTTTTCCTAGATTATATTCCTTTGCCGATGACTTGCCTTTCTTGGACTAGTCTTATTTAAGGGTCTCCGTTCCTGTTTTCCGCCTCTCCCTCTCCATACATTTAAGGGAGGCTTTTGCTGTTACTGCAGCGTCTTGTACTTCCCCTCCTTTAAACCCCTTCCAGACATTGCCAGGATTTGGATAACAGCAGGTTTCTTTCATCCGCTGCAGATCGCAGTTGGATCCGTCAGCTGTCACTCCTGTGGTTAGGATCTGGCACCTTGGACGTAGGGCACTAGGAGATGTGCTCACCTATAGGAAATAGGAGAAAAATATAAATAGCATTTTTTTCCTAGAGTGAAAAGTGATTTTTTTTACTTGTACCTGGAGCCCCCTGAATCAGAAATGTATTTGGAGAATAGGACTGTGCTAAGGGTTTGTCTAGACCAGGGGTTTTCAACCTTTTTTGGATCAGTGTACCCCCAGTGGCCAGATGTGGAACAATGTACTCCTGGCAGTGGGACGCAGAGCTGGGGGCAGGGGGTCACATGGCTGAACATGGAGCAGCAGCAGCCACCGCATGCAAGCTTCCCCTATTCCCCACATCCGGTCGGGTGGGCGGTGCCTGCGCAGCAGCGCAGGATAGTGTGTGGCAGTGTTCCATCCCTGCCTGCCTGCGCATACATACCCCCTAGGGCGTTCTCAAGTACCCCTGGGGTACACATACCTCCGGTTGACAACCCCTGGTCTAGACTAGATTTTGAGGTTGTTCTTTTGAGTTAATTGATGGCTAGTTAAGTCTAGCTAAGTAATATGGTTATTAATGTCAGGTATGCCACAGTAGTGTTTGTAGTTCACGTTCTCTGCCTAAGAATAAACCTGCAGCTTTTTGATGCCACAGTCACTTTTCAGTCTTTGGTGCTGGTCTAAATGTAAAGATGTCAGGCACATCCACGTAGCTGCTTTTGGAATCTGGTAAATTTTAATTTCTTTCTGAGCACTTCATTGGTTAGAAGATTTCTTAAGCAAAAATGTAACTGCCTATTGAAGCTCCAGCAGCAGCTACACTAGTTTCTTCCACGGTGGACGCTGCAGGCATCAGCTCCTGAATTAGTCATGTTTTAAAGTGTTTGATAACTTGTCACAGTAAACGAAGGTTGTTGCCACTTTGGCTGGATCCAGACTTGCAGGAACATGCTTTTTTCCCTGGGACAAACAGCAGTGGTAAAATATGTGGTGTTGCTACTTGTCCCCGAGGAATGCCTGTGCATGCGTGCTCTGGTGTGCGGCATGTTATCCCAGGTGGGGTAGGGGAGGCTGGGGCCAGCAGCTGGGCAGGCCTCAGCAGCCTTACCTGGAGTCCTGGGGGCTTCCTGGGGATCTCCAGGTGGTGATCCGGCAGTTGGAGCGTGGCTCTGGCTGGCCAGGCTTTGGGCAGTGCATGCTGCCGCCACATGCACCACCTCACTTTTTCCGACTGTGCTGCAAATTAACAGCGTGGGAAATGTCTGCTTGTGTGGCGTGTGCAGCACTGCTGACTGTATGTTTGCACTTGTCTGGACTCATGCTGTTTGTATTTTTACAGGTGAAATTGCTACCAGTAGGAGGTGTATATTGAATCCAGAAATGTGTTTCTCAGGGACAGCATTTCCAGCAACATTGGTTTTATATTAGTTAAAATCAAAATCCAGAAGGAAAAAAATAGGAATTTTAAAATAGTAACCTTTTGACTTAGAAAAAAATTGATCATTAAACTAAACTGACAATAAAATTAACCCATTTACAGCAGGGCTGAAGAACACCTGCTAGTGGTCAGAGCCCTCCCTCTGAGTGCATTGTGTATCATACTGAGAGGGCTTCCTTTAAACATAGCTCAGTTATTTTTGATCCAGAGTGACACAATAACTGAGCACTGAAGAAATTTTAAACTCTTTTTTTCCTGCTACAGAATGAATATTGAGGTAGTCTTATTAGAATCCCAAATTGTCAATAGGAAGGTTCATTTTAAAATGGGGTCAACAAGGTTAATCGTATTTTTCAAGTTGAATAAGCAAACATGATCTGGTGTAGTTTCCAGTTTGTTAAAAAGAGATAACATGACACTTCTTCGGGTAGTGTTCTGTTAACTTGCAAATGAAAGCTTGTCCTGGACTGTGTTCTGGTTATCCATTTGAGTTGACCTTGCATCCATTAATTGTTTGCAGTTGGTGTATCTATGCCTAGGGGTGCTGTCATAGATCATTAGTACATTAATTAGGCTCCAGTCTTGCCAGATTTTCAGTGTATAAAGTTAAGTATGTGAGTAGTCCCACTGTAGTCAATGAATGGAGTATTGTCTAGTCAGTTTAATGGGATTTACATAACATTTAAAGAACTGGATTAGAGCACACCAATTAGGAACTTGTTTATAACAGAAACCCACCAGCCTGCAGTACAGTGACGTTCCTAGAGTAGGACCCAGGGGAAATGTGCCAGTGATGTTCCTTTAACTCAGAGATACAGGGTAGTGGGATTAAATATTGTTGATTCTGACCCTTTGTTTCTCATTTCTTAAACAGGTACTCCCACAAGTACTGGATCAGCTGGAACAGCTACCACTTCCAAGTACTACGATGATATTTATTTTGATTCAGATTCAGAGGATGAAGATAAAGTAGGTAAACGACTGAGAAAGGCGTTGGCAGCTTTACAGCAGTGTCCTTCTGCTCTAGACCCTATTGAGTCCTCTTTGGGTCAGGATCTGTTGCTGGGAGTCTTGAGGGCAGGAAGGGAAGTTTGGGAGACCAGTGTTATCTTGCCAGTACTACGGTGCTGCAAAGTAGCTGATGATTCGTATAGTTTGGTGCTGCATTAATCCTTCTAGAACAACCTCAGCCTTTATGTTCTAGTTTGGATAAGGTGAGTATAGACAATAACACATGAAGCAGATGTTTAGGTTTTTTATTAGTGAAATAGATAACTGTGCTTTGTGTAATTGTTTGGGAGGTGGCATAAAACTTCATTTACACAAATCTTAGTTACGGAGGTAGCCAGGAAGAGAAGGAGACATCAGCAACGCCGGATTCCTACTAACGATGAGCTACTGTATGATCCAGAGGAAGACAATCGAGACCAGGAATGGGTAGATTCGCAGAGAAGAGGGTAAGAGGCTGTAAATATTTCAACTCAAATAAATTTTAAAATACTGTTGAAGGTGCTATGCCATAAAGTCACCTTTTTCTAAAAGTTGTTTTATTCAGGGTTTAATTTAAAGAATGTGAAATGTAAAAGCCTATTTTAATATAGTGTTTACCAGTTATGTGAATCAGTAAGTATGTACTCAAGGCTAAAACCTATTTCTTACAAACTCCCCACTGATGGCAGTTCTAGTAGGATTTGACCTTGGGAAAGGAAGTAATTGATGTAAGTGTTTTTCTCTTATGACAGTTTTTAATTTAATTTTTTTTTTCAAAAATGGTCCAAATCCTTAAGCCAGGTCTACAGTAGAGATCCCAGTGGGTGCTCCAGATAAATAGGGAGCTTACAGGATTGGTGAATTTTTACTTTTTAATGTTCTATTATATTTTGATCACTGAATTGGTTAGTGTTTAGTTAAAACCAATGTGAATGTTGTTTTTTTATGCCAGTCTTGGAATTTAATGAGGCAGAACTACAGTATAACCTTATAAAGCTGGATATCAGAAGTCTGGAATTCTCGAAAATCCAACACTTCTAAAAAAAAAAAAAATACACTAAATTGGGGAGTAGTGGCAGCTGGTCTTGGAGCAACGGAGGGGGAAGCTTGCACACGGTGGTTGCCGCCACCATCCACCACCCTGTGCCACCACTGCTCCAGGACTGGCTGCTGCTAACCCCTCCGCCTTGATCTGTGACCGGCTGCTGCTCTGGTTTTAAAAATCCAGAATTTTCACATTTCTGGCAGGTGCCCGGTCCTGAGCATGCCACATTTATGGAGTTATACTATGTTTGGATAAAAGGGAAAGCCCAGAGATGCTTTTTGGGTGAGATTTTTTCCTGGGGTAAACTTAAAAAAAAAAAAAAAAAAAAAGTGGTTAGTCTTGCTTATGCAAGACAAGCTAACTTTTGTATCTCTGGTTTCATCAGTTCTTATGTCACTCATGAGTTACCCACAGAAAAAAATGCACCCTTTTATTTTTTACCCGAGGTAAAAGCTATGTACATAAATCCAGCCAATGGAAAACCCCTCATGCCAAACAAATCCAGGATCTTTGAATTGAGGAAGCCGTGGGGGGAGGTGTCTATAGACGTGTGGATGTGATTGGATGTTAACATGGTTTTTGAGGTTCAATTTTGAGATTTCTTATTTGTAAGTGTGAATATTTTTACCTATTGGATTTTCTGTTGGTAGGTATCACAATCAAAGAAGAGGTCAGCAGCAGCAGCTTCAATCTCAAGCCATTCCAAACAGTGATGCTGTTTTGAACTGCCCTGCTTGCTTGATAACGTTGTGTCTAGATTGTCAGAGGTAATTACTGGACAATAAAAATGACATAATCTTTTTAGGTTGTTTTAATTTCAGGCACAATGGAATATGTAATTTTCATGTGCTAGTTCTGTAGTAGCCTGGTGGAAGCAAATGTGTGGATCCAGCTCATGTATATTAAATTATATTATATTTCACCTAGGTTCACCAGCAAAGTGTTGAACAACACCTAGGTTCAAACAGCAACAAATCTCAGATTTTGTTAGGGAGGGATTAAGGAAGGATCAGCAAACAAATAAATACTCTGTAGAAGAGTAATTTCTGAATTAGCTGAGTATTTATGAAGTGTGATTTGGACAATATCTAATGCTGTACACAATCATGTTCTTAAAGATCCAGGTTTCTTTGCAACCAGTATTTTCAAGCTGTTAGTGGGTTGGGCAGACTGCCCAATGAATAAACCACAAAACTAGTTTTCTCATCAGGTACTGATTTACTTGGGTGCATCAGTAGTTTTTTCACATAAAACTATCTGCTAGAAAGAGAAATCAGCCTCTTTTCTTCCATAATTTCCTTGAACTATGCTTACTACTTCCCTAGAGTTGAGGCTCTGTGCTGTATAAACAGGTCCCACACTCACCTGTAGGGACCTGTAGAGATTAGACTGTAGGGATTATATAAAGATATTTAAGAGGGTCCAATCCTAAGGAGTGTTCAGATTTTTCCAACTTCTGTTCATCTTAAAGCATTTCCCTGTTGTTACAGGGGCCCAGGACATGAGCCCTGCCCTTGTCTCTCTTGTTGCCTTCCTGTGGCACTTGGTAGGATTTTTAGTTCAACCTCTCCTCCCCTAGATTTGTTACAGGGGTATGTTGTGGTTGTGATGTGTGGGAGGGGACAGAGTGAATGTTCTTGTGGACCATTTTGGGCAAATTTTCATTATATGGTTACCAAGGATTGTGTGGAACTGGACCTGACTCACTTGAATTCTTTTCCAGGCCTTTGTTTCTTTATGTCTATTTTGCTAACTTCAGGCTTTCAGCGGACTATTTTGGTGAAATGTAGGGCGTCTCTGACGTATACTGAGAAATGGTTCGGTAGGCACAACTGAGTTTTACAACAGGTATATTTTGGCAAGTTTCAGGGCTGAACCACAATTTCAAAGTTTAGTGACCAATTTAGCAGGAGTTGGGGACAGACAGGTTGGGTGGGATGATGGGCAAAAGATAGTTCAAATTCTTCCATCTAATCTTTATCCCATCTTTAGTTGTAAATTGTCATTTGTTACTTCATAGCAAGATGGCTTTGTACTTCAGGGATATTTTATCAAAATAATCCATCTACCAATCTCAAAATAGCTTAATTTAAAAACCAAAGAGTTCATTTTCTGGTTTTAATACTTTGTGACTGGCTCCTAGTTCTTTAGTTTGGTATTTTCTGTCTTCAGTCCCATTTTCAGCAATAGTGACTAGTTTTGTGCCTGAAGAATGTTATATGTATAGGAAATGACTGTTGCATTTTCCCCTTCTTTGTAGACATGAATCGTACAAAACACAATATAGAGCAATGTTTGTGATGAACTGTTCTGTTAACAAAGAGGAGATTCTGAAATATAAAGCCCCAGTGAACAGGAGAATAAAAAGAAGAAATAAGAAAATGAAACAAAGCAATGAGACCACCAGTGTCCAAGGAGATGAGGAAAAGGAGGAAATATATCATCCAGTCAGATGTAATGAATGTTCAACTGAAGTGGCTGTCATGGATAAAGATGAAGTTTTTCACTTCTTCAATGTTCTAGCCAGCCACTGTTAACATGTAAAAAGAACTTCAGTACTTCAAGACCAAGACTGAGACCTCAAAAATATTGATTGTATATATTTTTAAATGCCCCTTCATCCTACCTAAACATTTTTAAACTGGCATTTTTCTGGCATCTCTTTAAAGATTTATGAAAGGAAAACAGTAAATTGTTTGCATTTGAGAATGGTATTCTATCAGACCTTCATGTAATGAGAACAAAAAGTTTAAATTTGTGTACACAGTGTGTAGTATTTCTTGTGTATTAGAACCACTACTTGTGTACTTATTATGAAATATCTTGATGTATGTTAGAACTGTTAAACTAAATACTATATACATTCTTTACCTACATAGTACGGTTTTTGGAGTGCTGATGAACTAGATTGGTTGGTGGACTCCCTAAGTTGGCCAGTTGGTTTGGTTTTATTGAAGGTGGATATTAAAGGAGAGAATTTTGTAGATGTATCAATATCCAGATGCTATTAAGTGTGGACATTTTTTACTTATATGTTGCATTCTTTTTGGCTTGTTCCCTGCATCTCTTGTAAACAAATATATTAAATCTTAGTTAAATAGCTTGAATCATGGATTGTAGGTGAGGAAGTATGATATTTTTGTGTTACTTTTTTGCTTATAATCACTGGACACATTTTAGGAAAAATTTTGCACAGTCAATTCAAACAGGCCATAGAAATAGACGGTTTACTTTTTAACTTTGCTTAGTAGACTGACAGTTTCTATATGGAAACAATACATAGCTTTTCTTCTGTTTTAGTTTGGACTTGTTCAAGAAGAATGCAGAAACATTGTCAAGTTAATGTTCAATTTCTAGATCTGCTGAATACCTAAACTCTTGCTTTTGATCGGCTAAGAGCACCTTTCCTATTTCTGGGTAGCTGAGTATTTCTCAACCTCTTTAGAAAGATGACTACTTAAAGTAAATTTTTTTGACAAACTCCTATTTACCATGACAGAAAAAAATGTATCAGGACCATAAGCCAAAATAATTGATGTGTAGGGGAGCAGGATTTACTTAGCCATATTCCTTTCCTGATAACCTTTTCCGGTCCCTTTGGGTTGACTGGCTGATGGGGAAACACTGCCTTATCTATGCTATGCTATATACATGAGAAAAATCATTTGCAGCTGTAGCAGAAGGGAGTATTACTTGGCAATAGTGTTGATTATTGTGCACTGAATCAGCTTCTATTGGATAGTTCACTTACTTTTGTGGTTTTTAATTATATTTTAACTAGGAGCTGTACCAGAACTATACACAGATGTTGCAGGCTATATTGGCTTCCTTGTTGCAAACCTGACAAATAATCACATGAACAGTGTATGGTTTTGTGGTATGTTCTCTAGTCCACTGGCACTTTCATATGCTTACATATCAGGCCTTATGTTGCCCAGTATATTCTCACAGTCATTTACCTGGTTCATTTATTATCTGATTTGATTTGGTTTATATGCCACTCTTCCCAACAAAGACTCAACCTGTTTACAATAAGAGGACAAAATTAATTATAAAGCAGGAGAATGAGCAAGAGAACAACATAACTTAAAAGACAAACCGGACCATTAAGATAAATCAGAACTGCTCTAACCAATATCCTAGCCTACCTCTGTCTGTTAAACACTTGCCCAAATAGAAAGGTCTTACAGCACCTTCTGAAAGATGTTCAGGCTCAGGCTCTGGCATACCAAAAGATGGGGGGAGTTCCAGAGCTGAGGAGCACCTGCTGAGAATAACATGCCAAATGTTTTTGCCAAGCAGACTTGGTGCATTGATGGTACTTGTAGGAGTTTGCTCTCAGCTGACCTTGGAGATTGCAGTTAGGTGCATGGGCAGTCCCTTGGATATGTTTAGGGCCTTACAGGGCAAAACCAGCACCTTGAATTATACCTGGAAATCTATTGGGAGCCAGCGCAGACTGGATCACTGGAGTTACATGCTTATGGAAGCTCATCCCTGTTAGGTGGGCCATCACTGCACGAACCGCAACTTCCAGATAGTCTTAAAGGGTAGTCTTATGTAGAGTGTGTTGCAGTAGTCTAACCTCAAGGTTACAAAGGCATAGATGATGGTAGCCAGATCTGAATCTGAAAGAAAGGGCCACTGCTTTCTCACCAGATGGAGCTGGTAAAAGGTGCTTCTAGGCACTGCTGTCACCTGAAGTTCCAAATGCAGGAGAGGATCCAGAGTACCCTAGGGCTGGAAACATGAGTGACAACAGGAGACTATATCCCATCAATGATAGATGTCCCAATCCCCCCAAAATTGCATGGTCTGCCCAATACCATCACTTCTGTCTTGTTTTTAATTCAGCTTCAGCTGGCTCACTTCATCCAGTTCCTAACTGCAACCATGCTTCATGAAAGGAGTGAGATTGCTGGGTTTTGCTCAGATGAAGTAGAGAGAGGCTTAGTAACAGAAATTCATAACTACTGGACACTACAAAGCATGACCTTAACACAATGGTTTCATAGCTCCTTTTAATTTACTGGGTCTCTGCTAACTCCTCTGTACTTCACAGGTAATAATGACAGTCTTATTTTTTTTTTTTTTTACATATTCAGGTTAATCTATTTCAACTCTTTTTATCTGGTCTGTAACTACTTCTGATAACTTCTGTTTGCTTCACAGAGTAAATGCCAGTTCTGTTTGCTTCAAAATGCCAGTTCCCTTTGCTCCCTTTTTCTTTTTTTAAGTGATAGCTTCATTTACATAATAGGGTTAAACAAAAGTAATTGCTCTGCCTGGTATTTAGCTTAGGCTGTATCTGTTTTTTACGTACCCGAGGAAGGGCATTTTGTGCCTGAAAATTGGTCTAACATCTTTTCTCACCTATGTATGTGGTCTAATAAAAGATATTACCAAACAAATCTTGCTTCTCATTTTTTTTTTTACTACAAAAGTGTGCTTTCAAATTCACTAACAGCAGCCACATAGTTTGCCAGCCTTTCAAGCAGCAATAGCATAAGAGTCATCTCAAGCAGCAGTTACACTAAAACAGTTTGGGGAGAGAAAATGTTTATATTCCCTTCTCTTAAAGTGTTGATGTTCTCTGGACATTGCTTAGCAGTCTTAGTGACTGAATGAAAAAGTTGGGAGAGTTGTTTCCATTGCTTGAGAGTAATTATACAATCATTCTTTTCAGTGGATGGATGCTGTCCTTGCTGGTCCTATGAAAGGCAGCGTGTTTATCACATGCATTACTGTAGTATGGGTAGGCTCTGGTGCTGCTTCACTGGACTTGGCCTGGTGGGCCTTGGACTCTCAATTTTATCTTCTTGTTCATTAGCTGATAGGCATTCTTTAATCATATTCACTGCAGGCTGAGCATCCTCTTCAGCATCCACTGGACAAACTTCTTTCTTTTGGGAACCTTTGCCTGGTATTTTTGACCCTCTACTGTTTCCTCAAGCACTGAAATAAATTTGCATGGGTGAACTGAGTCCTAACCATACGTGCTAGTATTCTGGTAGAATCTACCTCCTTTTCAGGTACTACCATATATGCTAATGTAGTATTCAGTTGTTCCTTCGTATTGGAAATCTATCTGCCAAACCTATTTTCCCTTCATGGTTAGGTCCTAGATCTGTACTCTTGTTTTTCTGAGATGCATGAATACTTGACTCGTACCTGTCTTTATTTGCTTGGATAGCTAGCACTGAAGGAGCTGCCGTATTTTTTAAACAAATCAATTGGGAGAAAAGATTATTGTTCAGTCAGGAAGTGCGGGGGCGGCATGTAGAATAACTGCAGATACAGGAGTATATGGAAAGCCTAGGCCAGGGGATTTAAGTACCTGGGCCAAGGAGCTGCCTTCTGGCCTCAAAGGTTTCCAGTATACTTTGTAATGTCTGATGAAATTGCTAATTTGGATGATATAAAATGAAGTAACACAAGACTACACAGATCTGACCCAGGGCAGATATTATATTCAAAGTTAGCACCATGTTCATGCTGCTTCCTCCTTTAGTCGGATTAAAAAAAATCAGTGGAAGCTGCAGAAACATGCAGAGGAACCTAATCTGGGTGAGCCAATTTAGCAAGTCTTGGGGATTCTGCAATTATAGTAGTCTCTGGTTCTTTAAGACCTTTCAAAAGAAGTGAAGTCTAATGTGTTATATAGTCTCTCTCCATCCTGTCGCAGAGTGGTACCTATGGTTTCAGGACGTTAATAAAACTATGAGGAGACCCATGGGTGACTGGTGCCTGCGGGGGGTACCCGCAGGTGCCACTGTTGGCGGCAGAGGCAGAGCTGGCGAGCTCCCGCAGGCACCAGCAGTGCCAGCCTGTAAGGTGGGGGAAGGCACGTGGCTCAGTGCCCCCCCGGTCTCCCCTATGCGTCACCTATGAGACTTGTCAGTGTTTAGGAACCCATGAGGAAGGTGGGGGCCAATTTTTATATTGCTACAACTTGTACATCTTTATGGTACAGATGCAAGGGTCCCACTTAGAAACTGGCAAGGTGTTGTATATTGTATCTAGGAGAACCTGCCCAATAATTATGGGGGAACCCCCTACTTGGCATGGACAGGAGAGCCCTTTACTGATGCTTAGGGATATTTTAGGGCAGTGGTTCTCAAACTTTTCAGGCTTGAGGCACTTCATGGAAATTGCCACCTTAGTTTTCATGTGTTTTTGACTACAGGAAAGTGCTAGAACAAGTCTTCTGTTGCAAATACCTGAGACAGGCCAGAAGGCTTTGAACGCCATGGGTTACTATGTGAATTTTCTTTTTTTAAAGAAATTTTTCATGTTCCCAGCCAAATCAAGTCCAAATCCATGAGTCAGTCCAGAACCATAAGTGGCCCTACAACTGGCAAACATCCTCCATCCCCGCCAGGGGCTTCAGATATTTCCAAAGTCTTTTGGGGGCATCCTACATGCAGGCCCAAGCCCCGAGGCTCAGTGTCTGGGTACCCCCGAGTTTCACCCGTCTTCAGTCATTTGCCCGCAGGAGCACGCTAGGGAGGATCCTCCCATTTCCATAAAGTGGGCTTTAACCCCAACACCCCGGCGGTACTGAAGAACAGTTATGCCGGAGCCGCTTAAGGAAAACTGCCTGCATGCACCCAGATACGCAGTGTTTCCCCTGCCGGGTAAGTGCGGTGTCTCCCGTGAATCCTGCTGCCAACCCGGGAAGCGCTCCCCTCCAGGCACCCTGGGTGACCACCTCTGCTCTGGGGCCACGTGCAATGCCGCGGGGGGGGGGCGGCCGCGTGACTGCAGTGACCCCCGCCCCCCGGGAGGGGCAGGGGGGGCGGGGCGC